TGATACCAAAACCAGACAAAGACTCAACCAAGAAAGAAAATTACTGAACAATATCACTCATGAACATAGATGTAAAAATACTCAATAAAATACTGGTAAACAGAATCCAAGAACATATCAAAAAAAATCATCCACCATGATCAAGTTGGCTTCATCCCAGAGATGCAGGGATGGTTCAACATACAAAAATCCATCAATGTAATCCACCATATAAATAAGCTGAAAAAAAAAAGCCATATGATCCTCTTTAGATGATGAAAAAGCATTCAACAAAATCCAACACCCCTTCATGATAAAGGTCTTGGAGAGATTAGGAATACAAGGAACATATCAAACATAATAAAAGCAATATACAGCAAGCCAACAGCCAACATTAAATTAAATGGAGAGAAACTCAAAGCAATTCCTCTAAAATCAGAAGCAAGATAAGGCTGTCCACTCTCTCCATGTCTATTCAACATAGTTCTTGAAGTTCTGGCTAGAGCAATAAGACAACAAAAGGAGATCAAGGGGATACAAATTAGAAAGGAAGAAATCAAACTTTCATTATTTGCAGATGACATGACAGTATATATATATAAGCGACCCCAAAAACTCTATTAGGGAACTCCTACAACTTCAGTAATGAGACAGGACACAAGATCAACTAAAAAAAAAAAAATCAGTAGCCCGCCTTTACAGAGATGATAAATGGGCTGAAATCAAAATCAGAGAATCATCACCCTTGACGATAGCCACAAATAACATAAAATATCTTGGGGTAACACTGACCAAAGAATTTCGACAAGAACTTTAAGTCTTTGAAGAAAGAAACTGAAAAAGATACCAGAAAATGGAAAGATCTCCCATGTTCTTGGATAGGAAGGATCAACATAATAAAAATGGCATTCCTACCAAAAGCAATCTATAGATTCAATGCAATCCTCATCAAAATCCCAACACAATTCTTTACAGACCTTAAAAGAACAGTACTCAACTTCATATGGAAAAAAAAAAACAAAAACAGGATAGCCAAAACAATCCTGTACAATAAAGGAACTTCCGGAGGCATCACAATCCCTGACTTCAAACTCTACTACAGAACTACAGTACTGAAAACAGCCTGGTATTAGCATAAAAACAGAGAGGTCGACCAATGGAATCAAATCAAGGACCCGGATAATAATCCACACACCTATGAACACCTGATTTTTGACAAAGCTAAAATTATACAATGGGAAAAAAAAAAGCATCTTCAACAAACAGTGCTGGCATAACTGGATGTAAACATATAAAAGAATGTAAATAGATCCTTATCTATTCCCATGCACAAAACTCAAGTTCAAGTGGATTAAAGACCTCAATATAAATCCGACCACACTGAACTTGATAGAAGAAAAAGTGGGAAGTAGCCTTCAGTTTTTGGGCACAGGAGACCACTTCCTAAATACAACATTAGTAGAACAGACACTGAGAGCCACAATAAATAAACAGGACCTCCTGAAACTGAAAAGCTTCTGTAAAATAAAGGACACAGTCAATAAGATAAAAAGGCATCCTACTGAATGTGAAAAGATCTTAACCAACTCTACATGAGACAGAGGATTGATCTCCAAAATATATAAAGAACTCAAGAAATTAGACATCAAAATTCCAAATAACCCAATTAAAAAATGGGGTACAGAACTAAACAGAGAATTCTCAACAGAAAAATTTCAAATAGCTGAAAGACTCTTAAGGAAATGTTCAACATCCTTAGCCATCATGGAAATGCAAATCAAAACAACTCTGAGATACCATCTTACACCAGTCAGAATGACAAAGATCAAAAACACTGATGACAGCTTATGCTGGAGAGTATGTGAAGTAAGGGGACACTCCTCCATTGCTAGTGGGAGTACAAACTTATACAACCATTCTGAAAATCAGTATGGTGGTGTCTCAAAAAACTGGGAATCAATATTCCTCAGAACCCAGCAATATCACTCTTGGACATATACCCAAAAGATGCCCAATTATACTACAAGGACATACGCTCAACTATGTTCATAGCAGCATTATTTGTAATAGCCAGAACCTGGAAACAACCTAGATGCCCCTCAAACAAAGAATGGACAACAAAAATGTGGCACATTTATACATTTGGTTTACTACTCAGCAGTAAAAACAATTATTTCTTGAAATGTGCATGCAAATGGATAGGACTAGAAAAAAACATCCTGAGTGAGGTAACACAGACCCAGAAAGATGAATATGGTATGTACTCACTCTTAAGTGGATACTAGCTGTAAAGCAAAGGATAATGAGCCTATAGTCCATGATCTTAGAGAAGCTAAATAACAAGGTGAAACCTATATAGGGGAAACCTGAAAAGGGGAAATAGACAAGATCACCTGACAAAATTTGGAGAATGAGGAATGGGAGAGTAGGGAGGATAGAAGGGGAAGACGAGGAGAGAAGGGGAGAACTTGAGGGAACAGGATAGTCGAGATGGAGGAAGGACAGAGATGAGAGCAAGGAAAGAGATATTTTGATTGAGGCTAGCAAGAAACCTGGCTCTAGAGAAATTCCCAGGAATCTACAAGGATGACCCTAGCTAAGACCCTAAGCAGTAGCAGGGAAGGGCCCAAACTAGCCTTGCCCTGTAGTCAGACTGATGAATATCTTAAATGCCACCATAGAACCTTCATCCAGCAACTGATGGAAACAGGCAGAGACCTGCATTAGGTCACTGGGTTGAGCTCCCAAAATCCAGCTGAAGAGTGAGTGGAGTGAGAATATGAACAAAGAGGTCAAGACCATGATGGGGACACCCACAGTTTACCTGAGCTAATGGGAGCTCACCAACTCCAGCAAAACAGGGAAGAAAACAGCATAGATCCAAACTAGTCCCTCTGAATGTGGGTGACAGTTGTATGGCTGGGGCAGACTGAGGGGCTACTGGCAATGGCACCAGGATTCATCCCTACTGCTTGTACTGGCTCTTTGGGAACCCATTCTCTTTGGATGGATACCTTGCTCAGCCTAGATATAATAGGGAGGACTTTGGACCTTCCCCAAAGCAATGTGCCTTACCCTCTGTGAGGAGTGGGTGGAGTGGGGTGAGGGACTAGGTGGAGGGAATGGGAGAAGGGGAGAAAGTGGGAACTGGGACTGGTGTGTAAAATGAAAGAGATAGTTTCTTTTCTTTTCTTTTAAGGAATAAGAGTACTAGACAAGTACGCCATAGCTTAAAATGTACTTCCTAACACTTTCACCAAAGTCTTTATACACTAGTGCACAGCACGCCAATGCTGGGGAAACAACAACGGAAAGAAATGATGCCGAGCCACAAGAGGCCAGGAAAATAGCATAGAGACTTATAGAGAAGATGGGGCAGGAGATGGAAGAAGGCCAGGCAGAGCATTCCCCAAAGCATCATATTTCACTTGCCAAAGAGCTGCCTAAGAGCTGGTACAGATTAAATGGCCTGGAAACTCGACTCTTATCAGTTCTATAAAAGCAAACATGGCTATGCAATCTCAGGCTTTATTCTCTGCCCACACCATGGGAACAAGTACGTTTCCTGTCTCTACTTCTGTAGAAGACTGAGTGAAGAAACTAGCTCTCTTCCCAAGAAACTTGCTTAGCCCCCTGAAACTTAAAAATTCCAATGGATAAAAACATCTAGATTTTAAGGCTGGGAAAGTGGTTTATTGGTAAAGTGCATGCTTAACGCAAGTAAGACACCAGGTTCTATCTATAGTACCATACACATAAGAAAGGAAGGAAAGAAGAAGGAAGAAAGGAAGGAAGGAAGGAAGGAAGGAAGGAAGGAAGGAAGGAAGGAAGGAAGGAAGGAGAAAAAAGAAATCTATATTCTACCAAATTTCTTTCCAAGAAGTCAAGCACAGCAAAAGAACTAGAGTGAGTAAAATATTCACCTTTCTTTCATTACAACCCATATTGGGGAGGCCACTAGAACAGGTGTTTGTTGCCCAAAAAACCTCTGGAGAGCTGATAGTGGAAAAAGACACCTTTGTATTCAGAGAAGATGGACTTCAGTTCTGAATTACCTTAAATGGAAGCTGGCAGTGGTTAACTCCCCCTTTCTTAGAATGTTCCAAAAACACAGGAAAAGTTATATACAATAGTAAAGGTATATTACTTTAAAAAGTAATATATAAAGGTATTAGTTATAATACTAGTAAACACAAAATAAGTAGTAAAAATAATACTGCTTTGTGCTTCTTTAGTATAACCTTTCATGAAGATTGAAATGTTTTAAGTGATTAGCTTAAAAACCACTTGGTAATATTCTCAAAATAGCAATTATGTTGATTTTCAAACACTCAATGTATACATTACAATGAAGTATGACCCTTTCAAAATATATAATCATTAAGCAATTAGTACAACATCCTGTGAAAAGAAAAATGCACAGGCACAACATTCAAAACAAATTCATGAGAAAAACCAGCCATGAAAATGATCACCAGATAACGGAAATCAGCTAGTGTTGTGGATAAAGGGGAAAGTTAAAAACCGTAATACGGGTAGGACTGGAGAGCCAGGTCAGTGAACGAGAGCACTGGCCACTACTGCAGAGGACCCTGGGTTGATTCCTAGCATCCACACAGTGACTCACAACTGTCTGCAATTCCAGTTCCAAGGAGTCTGATACCCTCTTCTGACCTCTGTGGACATGTACATGGTGCATGGATACACATGTAGACAAATAACTCATACACATAAAATTTAAAAATAAATTAATCTTAAAAGGTAAAACCAACAAACAAAAATCATAAGGAACAAACATACCTAATAAATCAAAAAGTCACCATAGTCCTGACCATCCATTGGACATACCACGGAACAAAGTGGCTGCACCAAAGGCATGCTCTTGTTCCTACACATTTGGGCAGCTTCAACCATCCTATCCAGCCAAGAGTCATCTACATCATCTCTACTGGTTCATGCATCCTGCCTGCTTCCAAGTACCTACTTTGGGCCTGCCCAACTAGCAAAGCACTTGTACTCACTATTCAGTGAAGAACCGGGCAATACCATACTGGCTAATGTCCTCCCTGTTCTCCAGCAGCTGGCACACTGCATCCTCCATGTAGGTAAGGACATGTCTCTGAGCTGCAAACAGAAAAGAAAAAGTAAGGAAAAATGGGAGAGATTAAAAACAAATTTCTTTCAATCCCAATAAGAAGCCATGGAAGTCAAGGTGTTATCTCTGTTCTGGCGGGGTAGAAGAGAGGCACAGCTCGCTGGCCATAACTGAGGTATGATCCCAAAGGGTGAAAGAGATGAGTGCAAAACATGACCTGCTGAGGCCTAACTAGCCGTCAGCACCACCTTCTATTCTTGTTTTCAATAACCAAGGGCTCCAGCCCCTCTTTCTTTTATACCTTCTATCCTCTCCCATCTGTGCATGGCCAGATAAATTCCAGGAAATAGATGATCTGATCCTAAAGAAAATTCAGATCTCTAATTTTAAAAAGTTACTGGAAAAGACTAAGGAACACAACAATTTCAGTGCTGTTACAGGTGGACATCATTAACCTTGGGAAACAGCAAAAACTTAATAGGTATACTTATTGTTAGATATACACAAGCTGCATTTGGCAGGGCGGTGGTGGCGCACGCCTTTAATCCCAGCACTCAGGAGGCAGAGGCAGGCAGATCTCTGTGAAATCAAGGCCAGCCTGGTCTATAAGAGCTAGTTCCAGGACAGTCTCCAAAGTTACAGAGAAACCTTGTCTCGAAAAACCAAAAAAACAAAACAAAACAAAACAAAACAAAAAAACAAACAAAAAAAACAACAACCAAGCTGCATTTGTTGTTACTGGGAAATGTGTGAATTAATCACAAACTTGTCAAAAAAGCTTGGCATAGAAAGAGAAGTATCAAAGCAACCGTTAGGGACTGAGGAGAGGATCAGAGGAGACTAGGACACAGACGGAAGAGAAAGAAGGGTGGATATGATCAAAGCATGATGTACATATAGATATGGAAATGTCACAATAAAATCAATTAGTTTGTATAACAGTTAACAATAATGTACAATAATAATGTTAATTAAAATTTATTCTTTTCAAAAAACACATCTATCTTGTAAAGATAGATAGAGATGGGTAATAGAGGTGGAGAGGCAGATTTATTTGTTGTTTGTTTTTTGAGACAGAATCTCATTATATAGCCTTAGCTGGTCTGGAATCGCTAAGTAGACTAGGTTTGGCCTTGAACTCAGAGAGATTTACCTTCCTCTGCCTCCCTCCCAAGTGTTAGGATTAAGGGCATGTGTCTCTGTGCCCAGTGTAATAGTATATTAATGTCATAAAGACCTGGGTTCAAATGACTGCTTTTTGAATAATTACTTAACTTACATTTGTTTGGGACTTTATCAAGTGTACAAAGCTATGTAATTTAACTCTATAGTAAAAACAAACAGAAGAAAAGAGTTACAAAGAAGTAAAGATGCTTGTAACCCTGTCTTGAGAGTAAAGCTGTAAAATAATACGTGTCAAATTCTAACACTGTTCTCAAAATATTAATCATCATAATCAAGTATATTAAACTAAGAAGAAAAACCCAGCCAGACTAATGTTACAACACAGTCATGTTTCACCATTGTACCTCTTCCTTTCTTCTACCCGCTTCACAAAACCCTTCCTTCCTTGGGCTCTCTGGCTTTTGACGACTTACCTGCAGCTAAGGAAAGTACAAGGATTCAGTATGCCCTCCCCCATTTCATTTCATTTCTTTTAGAAATGAAAGAATGTCTACTTAGAAGCAATCCTGCTCCTTCTCCTCCCTAGCTCTAGGGACCAAAAGTCAGTGAGAATGTTTTTGTAATAGTTAGAGTCAAAGTATTTTCATCCTAGGGGCAAAAAAAGAGAATTTTTTTTTTTTGAAAATAGACTGGAGGGGGAGTAGGATTTGCATGTCTAACATTCATCATTCAGTCAGACACTTAGTTTACTATATTACAAATAGCATCTACTATTTTGAGCCCCATCTAACTTATTGAACATGTGCCAGATAATGTATTAATTGTTCTAATGCATAATTTTATTTAATATTAGCAACAATCTTATGATAAGTATTTGTAGACTTCTATTTTACAGTTGAAATAGCTGAAACTTAAAGAATTAAAGCAACATGCTCAAGATCACATAGCTGGTAGTAAGAGAAGCTGAGATTCAAATCAAGGTTTGTCTTGTCCAAACACCGATGCTCGTCACAAAACGCCTCATCATTAGCACTTCACAGCAAGCCATGGAAGTAAAGTTATCTTCATGTGACCAAGAACATAAGGCATGAGTATAGCAAAATCACCTGAGGGATGTGATCTAGTCCTGTCCATGTGAACTGTGGGCATACACGTACATACATGACTGTCGTGTGTGAACACCTTATTATCCTGTCCCTGCCTGCACACAGAGCAGCATCTGTGTGAAGTCAGGACTTGCCTCCAAATTTCCAAGTGTCTTACCAAGAACCAGTCACTCTCCCACAAGGTATTCACCCCACCCCTTTGTAGGTCACAAAGTGGAACTAGAAAGCGCTGCTGCTTTCTTTAATCTGAGCTAAGGGTAGGAGATAAAAAAGAGCCACAGAGACAGGAGGGAACTCTGCCCAGCCAAGAGTAAGTGTGGAGCTCTCTCTAACTGCTTCCCCTGTTCTCCTCGCCGGCAGCTCTCATCAGTTCCGTGCTCTCTGTGGTGCTGGACCACCCAGCCCAGAAAACCCTTACAGTGGCTCAAACTTCAATGAGACTCAGTAAATCCAAGGCAGTAAATGTGGAGAACACTGCTTTGCACTGCTTTGTAAATGCAAAGGAGTCGTTTTAATTGATGTGAGCGATTAAAGAATTCAAACAGCACACCTGCACCCCCGGAGGGGAAAGTTATCTGGGCACCTGAGCTGCCTTTTTGGAAAAGGAAAAGCATTTCAGACTGGCTTTTCCTCTTCTGCTTTGCCGTGACTTCCACAACACAGTCAGGATTAAGTCTTCCAATCCGTACCAATAAGGTTTCACCATCCTGAAATCCCCATTAACACAAAAGTCATGATCTGATAGCATTGTCTGAGACAGATATTTATACTTTCATCATGCTAAAATGAAAAATCTAAGTAAAATGAAGTAAAAGTAAACATTGCCTAATCTTTTATATGAACCAAGGGAGTAATGGAACTGTAGATCAGAAATTTCTTGATTCTGTTGACTCGGACTATGCTGATCACACTACCTCTTCATACCGCAGTGGCTCCTGCTTTTAAAATGACTGGGACTAAAAATGTGTCTGATTTAAAAAAAAAAAAAAAACCTACTTTAACCCAGCACTCAGAAGAGGCAGGTGGATCTCTGTGAGTTCCAGGACAGTCAGGTCTAAGTAGAAAGACCCTGTCTCAAAGAACAAACAACGACAAAAAGGGTTTTATATCTATAATAATTTACATAATCATATACCCATTCTAGTTAGGACTTTTAAACCTGTGGGAAGCACTCACTTATTAACTGCTAATTACTTAGCAGGCCCTAATTTTCACGGGGAAAGTCCACACTGATTTCCCTTTGCTCTCCTCCCAAACACAAACACCATCAAAGCGCCAGCTGTTGATTTCACAGTTAAGTGATAAGGGAGCCTATTTGGGGATTCCTGTTAGAGGGGTCTAGAATTTCCACCCACAGTATTAGTTACACCATTTCAAACTGTCTTAACACTTGAATAAACAAGTCTTACCAGAAATATATTAATGAGTTACTATACATGCTATCAATAAATACAAGGAAATAGCAATGTAGAAAAAAGCAGGGTATATGTATACATATATTCTATCTTAAACCTGATTTTCCCCTCTCATTCCAGAACTTTTTTGAAGCACACTTCATTCTTTGTGCTCTGAAGACTCAAATGCTGAGTAGCACAAACAAATGTTAAACTAAATTCAAACTATTCTTTAGGATGAGGAATCTAAGTCTGCTTAGCCACCAGCCTGTCATATAAACTGCCTATATATGTCTCAAGTTCAATATCATTCATAAATTACTAACATCATTCTATACATGATCATGTAAAGTACAAACAAATAGCTAAATGGATTAATAAGTTTCTAGACTTCTAGGTTTATTGTTTGCATCTTTCATCTTTATTGGTATTACCTGGGTCCTAGAAAACAGTGTGTTCAGCTAAAACATTTTATCTTCTGCAAGGACATCTTTGATCTTAGTCCACACTAAACCAATAGCCCTTGACCAAAGGGGATGAGGAAATGAGAAAAACTATCACATTTAATTCCCATACAGCTCAGTGAAGCAGACAGCAGTTTCTTTAGCAGCAGAGAGAGGTCAGGGAGCTAGCTGAAGTCTATGTAACTGGCAGAGAGCTAGGATTCACATCTAGGTTTGAGCCCAAAGCTAACGTTCTTCCAGTTGACATTATTGCCTTTCAAAAGCAAACAGCAAGTTGGTTTACTCCTGTAATTCCAGCACTCAGGAGGCTGAGGCAAGAGGATTGTTGCAAGTTCAAGACTCATCAGGATATACAACAAGACTGTCAATGAAACTAGGGGGGAAACAACAAAATAAGGAAAGCCCCAAATCTTTCCATGTGCCCATTCTAACATGTGCATTAGCTTTTCACTATTAACTGTAAGAATGGTGCTTAATGAGTAAACTACACAGTTAAGTTATGAACTCTAATAAACACCTCTAGGCTTTTGTCTCTAGGCTTTCAAATTACACACTCTAACTTTGTTTATGGCTTCAGATGACACAGGTAAGATACAGACGAGTGGATGGTGGCAGTTCTCCTCGGTTTAAGAGGCAGACTTTCTTCATTCCTTTCTCTAGGTTCCTTCTTCTTGAGACAGGGTCTTAGGTAGTCCAGGCAGGATATGAAGTCATTCTATAGAATGACCTTGGATTTCTAATACTCCTGCCTCCACCTCCCAAGAGATGGGCTTGAACGTACACAACATCACAACCAGTGTTGGGGAACTCAGGATTTTGGACAGAGGAGGCAAGCATTCTACTAACTAAGCTGCATTCCCACCCTAAGAAAAATGCTTTAAAAATTTATAGAGAAATTTGGGCTAGCAAGACGGCTCAGAGGTAGGGATACTTGCCACCG